ATGATGTTGTACCAATGCATTATGGTGGGTGTCAAGGTCATGTATGGTATAAGGTCAAGGTATGGTGGGTCTATACGCTGAAGATACCACGAAACAAACATTTACTAGCCAACAGTCAAAAAGTATAAAAGACATTTAAGACCACTGCAGGCCTACGCAGCATTCGCTAAGACATGGAATAGAGACTAGTTGGCTAGTTTTGATATGGCCCGAGTTTTCATATGGCCGTGAGGAAAAAAGTGGGCTGTATTAATACTGTCCGGCCCGTATTAATGCTGACCGCCAGGCGGCCCGCATTAATGCTGACCGGGGGCCGTATTAATACGGGCCAGGTCTCCGGTCAGTATTAATGCGGGCCGGGCAGCATTAATACGGGCCGGGTTTTCAAACGGGCCGTAACATATACAAGCAATTATTACAACCCTTGCTGATAGCTGTGTGTGCCATTAAACATAAGCGGTCGGCTGTTTTTGGTACTGTGTCGCCCAAAGACGACACATTGTATCTTTGAAGGTGAGATGTGAAGGTTGAGTGTCTGAAGTTTCGGAGTAACGCTGTTGAGTGTCCTTTCGAGTTGTGTTAGGGTGCTTCCTCGTTGGTTTTGTGTTGTCCAGATTGCTATATCGTCCGCATAGGTGGCTATCTTGACTTGTCTTGTGTTCTGTTTGAGCTGTGAGTTAAGTGCAAGTACGAAAAGCAGTGGACTGAGCACTCTCCCTTACATGAGTCCAGTGCTCGGATACTGTGTGTTTGATGTGTGTGTGAGGTGTCTGACTTTGAATGTGCGTTTTGTGAGGTAGTTGTTCAGGTAGGCCATGAGGTGACCATCTATGCCAATGCTTTTGAGATAGGCGGTAAGTGCGGTAATGTTCAAGTGTGTCGTATGCGTTTTGCGTTGGTTAGTTTATACTTTTTTCAAGAGAAGAAGGCACCTTGCAGTTGCGGATATATCAAATTGTTTGATATTGACACACTCAGAAGATTGATTGAAAGTGTGATAGGCGTGACGGTCCGTCGGACCATGTGCTCCGGCATGGTCCCCTCCCCTCCCCAACCCCTCCGACCCAGGCGGTCGCCTCGCTCCAACGGGTCTCGACCACCGCACACTGGGCCGGGGGTCCGGAAAAGTGCTAGAAATTATTTGTGATTGAGTTGTTGATCTCAGTGACAAGCAAACATGCTAAAAACGAAGTGGGGCTGCTTAACCCTCGCCGGACCTATTGTCGGACCCCCACCCCCTCGGCCGGCCGAGGGGGAGGGTTGGTACGACCCCTTTTTGCCGTTTCGCCCCTTATGGAGCTAGAGCCTCGCGGAAAAAACAAGCGTGTGCGCCGTTTCAAGGCGGAACGATTGATACCCGATTTTAAGGTCCCAGGTCAACCGGTAACCTCTGAGGTGAAGTCAAAAAGCCCAAGGTAGGGTTTGGTTTTTGGCAAATAATTTCGCAAAAAATGGCCGCAGAGCAGCGATTTTGGCTAGTTGCCAGATAGTGGAATTCCGGTAACGAGACATCTATTCCCCACTATTATATTATATACCTACATATCCGGCATTGGAGGATGTTCAGTAATTGAGGCGCTCGCTCATAAAATGCCGTGCGTTTCATGCACACTCCTCAAGCAAAGATATTTTTACTTTCCAATTTTCCACATTTTCTCAAGGCTTAGACCGTTACAGAGACCGTTTTAATTGACTTTGATGAAGTTGAACGCGAGAAATCACAACCAAATGCTACATAAGGTTGTAAAGAACTGAATTGCGTTTTCCCACACACGTGGCGTTTTCTCACCTACGTCTGCAGGAGAGACCGGACCCACTATGCCCCCCCTCCCCACCATCGAAAGGTTCTTCATGACTCCCGGGGGCCCCCGGGGAACCTGGGGGCCCTATACACTGTGGGGGGCCCCTTCGAAAGCAGGTGGCCCCCTCCTGGGCAAAATCCTGGGTACGTGCCTGCCCCAGCCTGTTTCGACGGAAAGCCATGTCCGTCGTTCGTGACCCTGCCCCTCCCACCCCTTCCCCCCCGTCCGCAACACGAAGCTCACATTTCTTTACTGAAGCGCTCTTTTTCTACATTGGACCGGGCCGGGAATGGAACAGGTGATAATTTTCGAGAAGAGTGGTTAAGAGTTTGGCACCGCGGCATAAGCAAGCTTGTCAGTTCAGACGGATCAGTAACGAATAGACTGTAAAATTATCAGCATGGATTCTAACAAAGTACGACACCAAAGAATTAACAAGACAAACATGCCTCTTTTCTTAACCATGAGTGAGTTTAGACTTTAATGACTGAACGTGCAATGAAAAGTTGATATTTTAGTACACGCCGCATCGCTGCATATACACATTGAAAAACAGGGGCGGAGCTTCCTATACAGTTGGTGGGGCGGCTGCCCCACCAACTTGGTATTTTGCCCCACCAATAATCGTTTTTCCCCACCAACTTCAGCTGATTTCTAAGACTTTGTTACCTACTTTGCAAATTAATCTTTTTCGCATTGAAGAGCTTTGTAATGTCTGTTTAATGCAAAATAGGTAATATGTCTGTAATGATAGGAATTGATTCAGTGCGACATTTTATTCAACTTTATAAGCGGACATTGTGGGTTTGACGTCTTTTTGCCCCACCAACTTCCCTGGAAAAAGCGCCACCTATGTTGAAAAATATGCGTAATAAAGGACTCTGGCTGTGCGTTTTTAGGAAGCCTGTTCCCAATAACGCACAAATGCAGACCTTTTTTAAAACAGTCGTCATAGCCATACTAAAATCCCATCATAGTTCCGTCTCTGGGATTATAGAGACCATTCATTGCCCAACATACTGGCGTGATTACACCCCTATCGGCGCAGCCATTTGGCCGTAATTGCGATTGGAACCTTACGTGTGCGTTATTGGGTCAGTCTTCCCTTACGTTTATAATGAACTTTGAATTATCGGCCAATAGGACCCTCCGCGATGTATTCCCTAACGTCTCAGTAGGTGGATGTCTTTTTCACTTGCCCTAAGCTATTCCGTCACTAATTGTTTGGACACTAACGATTTTGTCACTAGCTGTTTTGGAACACTAGCTATTTTGCTTCACTAGCTATTTTGACGCTAGCTATTTTATCAAAAGCTGTTTTGAGGCACTGGCTGTTTTGTTCTAGCTGAAAAGTCACTAGCTCAAATGCCATTAGCTATTCTGACGTGCACCCGTTTGGTAGGGTAGCCTCAGTCCTTCTACCAATTATTGGAATATTCCCGATGCATGTGGGTGACCTCTTGTGCACATGTCACGTGGAAAACAAAGAGGTGCCAGTTATGTAACAATTCCCCCCCCCCTCCCCCTCCCCCATACACCCGCCCACAACACGGTTAGATTCGCTCCTGAGGTGACGTGTTGGCCGGTACTCGTCACAAGTTTGTAGTTCGTACTTGTGATTTGCATCCGATTGTGGTAAGTGTACCCTGATTTTTAATGTATTTGTTGTCTCAGACTCATATAATCATCCGATAATTGGTGCATTTATTCATCCTAACGCACACGACACATTTCAGGGACAGCATTTGTGAGCCAAAAATGTGTAGCATCACTGTAGGCCTAATGCACCTGTAGTCGCCGATCGTCAACTTCTTTTAAACGTTGGAACATTTGGTCGACGTGTGAGGCGGTTTCAGATACCGCCGCGTCTGCTCCTCGCCCGGCGACTGACCCAGCTATCCCCCTCCCTTAACGTTCACGGCCCGTTTCTATGCCGCCGTGTAGACGAAATAGGCGCCGAGCCGCTGATCGTCTTGGGAGATGCCTTGGTGAGTGGTGAAGCTTCGCTTTCTTAATGTTCAAAAATAGTTGCGGCGAAGTCCACACTCGCCACCTTATAATGCCGTCTTCTGAGACCGTGCGGCTTCTGCCGCACGATGCCCAGCGATGACAGATAGCGATGACATCTGACGACCTGAACGGCCGAAAAGCAAATCTTGCGAGCAGAACAGCACCATAGCAAGATGAACTCAGTAAGACGCTACGCTGTGCCAATAACAGTATGTGCGTGGGTTCTTCGCCAGAGTCCGGACTGCACCTCCCGGCAAGACACGAAGTTTCCAACACTTCAAACAAACAGTTTCCGTAACACCGTTTGTTTGTTGAACTTGCTTGATCAGTAGCAACCGACCAGGTACAACAATTGAATTCAGAGTCGGCAGCCTTATATTTAGCATGCCGCAGCTCGGTGACCATCTTAGCTTTCGCTCTGTATCCGGAACCGCATCGGGCAATCGTGACCGACCACCGAAACCAGCTGAGTAGTCCACGGCATCGGAAACGTTCTGCGTAGCCTGTAGGTGTAGGTGATGCAACAGTGAATCCCTGTGTCTTTGTGAGTCTTCGTGAGTTCTGGCGCACAGGACTCACAGGTGCACACTTCCAGCGTTATTGCCAGCGCAGCTTTCTTTCGCACGGCCCAGAAGAGCACGGCATGAGCTGACTAGTGTAGGTTTCGCTTTGATTGTGTGAGCTGTCGGACTTGCTGGAAACAGAACCTGACTGATCGCCGAGTCATTCAAACACACAGATCTCAGCTGATCTGAAAATGAAGACAACCGAAACGAGCCGCGGGTGGTGGGCTCCTGCCTCCTAGGTCATCCATGCGTTAGCAGAGGAGCGGGCCGTAAATGAAGAGGCCGTGTTCCAGATATTATTCATTTCTTCAGTCTATTCAATATTCAAAATCACAATATATCACTTCCTGTATTCCATTTTCCATGTCACTCCCAAGTCCCCCCTGAAACCCAGATTTTATCCAAAAACAATCACAATATTTGCGGGAGACATTGCACTGCTCGGCACCTCCATGTTGAGGTCATTTTATAATTGCTAGCAGAACACCGCAAATACACAACATACTCCCCGGGGTGGAAGTCAAGACAATAGTAACACATAATAGTACACAATGACGAGAGCATAGGAGCACGAGCACCCATGCCCCTTCCTGGTGGATTGACTTTCACCATTTGCGCTCACTCAGACCTCTGGAGACGTCTGGCTGGCTGATGCGGCCTCCAAGAGATACAGCTTCTGTATGGGCCGCCTTACGATACCACGCCCAGTGCGCACCGAGGCAGCACGGGATCGTCCATCCCGTCCAGGATGCACGGCACAGATCACGCCAGTTGTCCAGGTCAGGCGATTGGGAGAGGTCTCGCCTTCGATCAGCACGAGATCGCCTGATGTGGGTGCTAGCTCCACTTCAGGTCGGTGCTGATCTCTGAGGTGCCTCAGATATTCACGCTGCCAGCGATTCCACAGGGATTCCATGACTCGGCTCTGGTAACGGCGGCGGCGTGTCAGGCGCTGGGCTTCGCTCTCCCGGACGGGACTCGGACCAGATTCCAGAGAGCAGTGAAGGAAGTCTGACGGTCTCAGCGGTCGCAGGTCATCCGGGTCATCACTGACTTGAGTGAGAGGACGGTCATTGATGGCCCCCTCCACGGAACAGAGCACTGTCTCTAGCTCCTCCCATGAGAGAAGTGCTGCACCAAGTGTGCGGCGCAGCGCGTGCTTCGTAAGTTTCACCATCGACTCCCAGAAGCCGCCCCACCATGGAGCCCGCTCCACGATGAAGCTCCAAGAAACTCCCTCCGTGGCCAGGACGGCAGAGGCGGCCTTGAAGTAGGTGGCGTTGTCGCTGATAATGCTGGTCGGACTGAGTCTGCGAGCGGCAAAACGACGGTAGGCGCGGAGGAAGTCTTCCGTCCGCAGGGAACCCACCAGCTCCAGATGCAGGGCGCGCGTGACGGCACAGGTGAAAACCGCTATGTAGACCTTCTCGGGCTCGGATCCAAACGGCCGCTTCACATATAGCGGCCCAGCGTAGTCGATGCCAGTGCAGCTGAAGGGTCGAGCGGCTGTCACCCGGCTCCGAGGCAGAGGAGCCGGTCTCATGGCGAACGGTTGGGCTCGGAACAAGTGGCATTTGCGGCACTGGTTCAGGGAGGCGCGCACGGTTTGCCGCCCCCGGGTGATCCAATAGCGATCTCTGATGGCATCCACAACTTGCTGAACTCCAGCGTGACAGAGTTCTTCGTGGATCTTCATAGCCAGGAGATAAACCAGCCGGTGACCAGGCGGGAGAATCACCGGTCGTATCTCCTCTTCTGAGAGACTGGAATACTGAAGTCGTCCATCCTTTCTCAGTATGCCCTCTTCTAGCACGGGGTTGAGAGCCTTCAAGCTCGACTGACGCGGCAGGTCAAGACCCGCTTGGAGGGCATCCAGGTCTTGGCCGTACTCGGTTCGTTGGGCGTCCATGACCCACAGACCTCAGCGGTGCTGATTTCACTTGTCGACAAAGGACCGCTGAGGCTTGTCGCCAAGCTGCGGCCTCGAGCCCATCTTAGCACCCAGGCGGTGATCCTTATCAGCTTCCTCCAGCTGCTGTAGCGGTTGATGTCCATCACTTGTCCGATCCCAGTTGATCTGGCGCGAGTTCCTACCGTTGTGAGCGCCATCTTCTTTGCTTCCACTGTACATTCGGCTGGCTCGTTGCTTGTCGGAGTCTGCGGAGGCCAGACTGAATTGTCGCCTTCCAGCCACTCTGGGCCATGCAGCCAGAGGCTGCTCCTCAGCTGCGCCGCCGGTACTCCTTTGGATGGCAGATCAGCAGGATTCTGATTGCCCGGGACATGCTTCCACAAGGTCGGCGGGCAGAGGCTCTGGATCTCGTTGATTCTGTTTCGCACGTATACTCCCCACCGCTGGGAATTGCTTCTAATCCAGTGAAGCGCTACCATCGAGTCAGTCCAGCAGCCGCTGATTTCGGTGGTGATGTCTAGTTGACTTTGCACGTAGGTGACTAACCGGGCACCGATCACGGCCGCTGTCAGCTCGAGACGAGGCACTGACATGGCTTGGCGTGGGGCGAGACGGGCCTTAGCCATCACCAGAGTGGGCGCGCGTGCGTTGTCTTCCGGTTTGACGTACACAGCTGCTGCCATGGCCTCCATACTGGCGTCGCAGAACATGTGTAGCTGATAGCCGCAGTCCCCGCCGGTCGCGTAGGGACGTGGGATGCGGAAACCGTCGATCTGCTCCAGCTCCAGAAGCCACTTTCTCCAGTCCTTGCGCACGTCACTGGCTACCGTCTGATCCCAGGAATGGCCAGCGATCCATAATCTCTTCAGCAGAAGCTTCGCTCGAACCAGAAAGGGAACAAGAAGGCCAAGCGGGTCGTAAAAGCGCGCTGAGACGCTTAGAATGTTCCGCTTCGTTTCCGGTGCTTCTCGACCGAGCTGCGTCAGAAAGGCAGTTTTGAACACCAGCTGATCGTCCCCTGGGATCCAGCAGATGCCCAGCACTTTACGCTCAGCTGTTGCCTCCTCGCCAAGAGGCTTGTGTGCCTCCTTGTCCGTCTCGAAGCTGTAGGTCCAGTGTCTCATATTCATCTTGGCATCATTGAAGATCTCTTGGGTCCGCTGTGACAGCTCCTCAGCCTCTTCCTGTGTATCCACGCTGGTGATTAAATCATCACAGTATAGGTCGCGCCGCAGGCGAGCGACCAGCTGTCCGTCTGCCTCCTCATACTGCTGCAGATGTTGACGTACGCTTGCCTGAAGCAGGAATGGCGAAGTGGTCACTCCGAACACCACACGCGTCATGCGGTAGGTGGTGGGGCGGAGATCGGAGGCATCCTTCCTCCACAGGAACCTCGTGACATCCCGGTCATCAGGATGTAGAGCCAGCTGAAGGAATGCCTTCTCAATATCAGCGGTGACTCCGATCCTTCTCGTTCGAAATCGGAGCAGCACTCCGGTAAGGTCAGCAATCATGTTTGGACCAGAGAGGACGTGATCGTTCAGCGAGTTGGGATGGCCAGCGGCAGCGTCAAAGACAATCCTGATCTTGTCTCCCTTGAAGACTGCATGGTGCGGGAGTAGATGCACCTTCCCAGTGGGGATCTGGGGTGCCTCTTCAGCGTGACCTTGATCGATGTAGTCTTGGATTGCATTGTCATATTGCCTCAGTTTTCCAGTCTTCCTCAGGCTCCGCTCGCACGCCTCCAGGCGAGAGAGCGCCATGGCTTCGTTTGAGGGGAGGTCCCCGGTGTCATGTTTCCATGGCCAACGGTTCTGATAGCGCCCGTCAGGAAGGCGGGTGCAGGTTTCATTGAACTGCTGCAGGGCAGCGGCTCCCTGCGTTTTCTTCACGCTGCCATCTCCTACACCATCACTGCTGATCCCGATGCCTTCCAGCGTCCACAAGTCATCCAGCGTCGCCTTCACCGACTCCGTCTCCGTGTGCACGAAGTTGGCCATCATCTCTTGTGGGGCTGGAGTGGCGCAGCCTGACCGCCCGCATACGATCCAGCCAAACCGCGAGCTGATCGCCATTGGCCCGGACTGACCGACGCGCATGTCACCGTCAAAAACGTCCTGCAGGACGTCCTGGCCGAGGAGAATCTCAATTTCACCACCACTGGCCAGCGCAGCACCTGGTTCCTCCGCCAGCTTCAGACCTCTCAGGTGTTCATGAAGCTGTATTTCTTCTATGCCGATGACAGGCGGAGGGCCACATATATTGGGAATCTTGTAGGCCTCGACACGTAGCAGTGACCCATCCTGTGTGGTCAGTCCCACTTCCACCTTCTCACTCAGCTGATGCGACGCCTTTCCTCCTCCGAATGTGCTCACCTGGAGCGGTTGTCTTGTCTGAATCCGACAGCCCAGCATGTGTGCTGTGTCAGATCTGATGAAGGTGGCGTTGCTGCCTGAGTCACACATGACTCGCACGCGGCACGTGCTCTTCAGTCCAGATGCCTCCACTTTGGCCGTCTGCATGAGCACGACACGGTCAGGTTCGGTGGCTGTGCGACTGGCCGCCGTCACCGTGGCTGATTGAGCGGGTGACGTGCCGCTGCTCGACTGGCTGCCCCTCGCTGCTGCTGGCACAGACGACCGGTCGCATAGCAGGGGATTGTGCTTGCCATTACAGATCGAGCAGCGCGCCAGGCCCTGGCGGCAGTCAACTGCTCGGTGAGAGGCCGGCTTCAGGCACCAGAAGCACCCCGCTCGGCGCATCAAGCGCTCTCGTCGCTCAGCCGGCGTGAGGTCCCGCGTCTTCCTACACTCTTCCGATGGATGAGGGTACCCACAAAAGACGCAACCATCTTGGACCGCCGTCGGTAGCGCAGTTGCTGAACCGTAAGCCTGTGGAGAGGGCGATGAGGATGAATCACCACTGGCGTTGGCGCGTCTGGGCCAGTTGTAAAGCGAGCGGCCGTGAGCTTCTAAGAATTTTGAAGCCTGCTCACCCAAATCTTTCAGGTCATAGTCAACGCGCTCGCGTAGATGCGTCTGCAGTTGTTTCGGACATGCTTCCATAAACTGTTCATACACAACTAGGTCTTCTAAATCCTCGCCAGCCAAGCTCACCCAACGGCGCAGGTAGCCCGTCAGCCGCTCCAGATATTGAGGTGGGCTCTCATCCGGCTCGGGTCCGCTCTCTCGGAGCTTACGGCGGTAGCCCTCCGCCGTCAAACCGTAGCGCTGTAGCAGGGCTTCCTTTACTTGCTGGTAGTCATTTGCATCACGCTCGCTTAGCCGAGAATACACGTTGAGAGCCCTCCCGGTCAGAAGAGCACTCAAGTTAGTGGCCCATTCCTCTCTGGCCCACCCGCACCGAGCTGCTGTCCTCTCGAACCGCGCCAGGTAGGCGTCCAAATCGTCCTTGCCATCCACGAACGCAGGTAACTTGGGCTTCTTGGCCGACGCCGCCTGTTGTTCTGTTGAACTCGCTCTCTCCGCTCGGATGCGCTCCAGCTCTAGCTCATGCTGTCTCTCTTTTTCTCTCTCTTCTCTGGCCGTAACTTCAAATTGTCTCTCTTTTTCTCTCTCTTGTCTCTCTTTTTCTCTCTCTTCTCTGGCTGCGATTCTCTCCGCTCTTTCGTCCGCCTTCTCCTTCTGTTCAGTGGCATATGCCAAGGCTTCTGATCCACTCAATCCACACCTTTCTGCCAATTGTATATACTCCTCCATCGTGTCCTGTCACGGTCGCCAAATGTTCCAGATATTATTCATTTCTTCAGTCTATTCAATATTCAAAATCACAATATATCACTTCCTGTATTCCATTTTCCATGTCACTCCCAAGTCCCCCCTGAAACCCAGATTTTATCCAAAAACAATCACAATATTTGCGGGAGACATTGCACTGCTCGGCACCTCCATGTTGAGGTCATTTTATAATTGCTAGCAGAACACCGCAAATACACAACAGGCCGTATAAAGGTCGTGACGGGGTTAGCTGAGTCGGTTGCCACCGAGTAGAGACAAGGCTATATCTCTAGCCGCCTCACATATGTGGACGAACGGTATCAACGTGTGAGAGATGTTGACAGTCGGTCGCCAGTGGTGAGTTTGAGTTAGTGATGTCAATTTCAGAAATTTTGGAAACCAATACCAAACCGATACCGACCAAAACCACTGAGATTATATCAAAACCGAACCGATTTTCAGAAATAGGGGGAAATACCGACTAGATACCGAAATCAGGGAATCATCAAACAAATGCTTCAAACTTTCTCAAGACATATGATAAGCCTTGAATGGTACCTAATACTTGGAAATAAGGTAACAAAAACAAATCAGGCAATCTCTTAATTATTTGCATTGCAAAAAAAAAAAACATTTATAACTGTATTTTGTAACTATTAACAAATATTCAGGTCAGTTATTTAACTGGAATGTGGTTTCAAGTCATCTGCGGGGCATTCCATGTCAACCGGGACAGCCAAAATCGGTCACCTCTGCGATTTTGTTCAAACTTGGTATACCTATTGCCTATTAGGTGAAACCTCTGAGGGTGAAAGGATTTTGTAATATGCCCTCGGGCTACAGAGATACAAGCCGCATTGGGCATTGGGCGTGTATCGCAATTTTGAAAGATCTATAGCTTCAACATTTTTGAAGCTATTAATATCAAACAAAGTGGAACGTATACATAAGGAGTTATACTAGCAATATTTGGCAATTTTTACAATTTTTGAAAATTTTGAATTTAATTTATTTTGAATTAATTTTTTTAAATATAATTTGTGAAAAATGGGTACCTAAATAGTAGAAAATGTAAAAACATGACCTTATTTCCTCGATAATTGCCAAAACTAATGCTGTACAAATATATACTTTATTTGAAAGAAACTGTTGGATTTCAAAGATTGGATTTGAAAGAAAGATTTGAAACTGTTGGAAAAAGACCTGTGGTTGAAATATTACATTCTTTCAAATAAAGTATATATTTGTACAGCATTAGTTTTGGCAATTATCGAGGAAATAAGGTCATGTTTTTACATTTTCTACTATTGATGAACATGTTCCTCGCACAAGCACTAACCTCATTAAAAAATGGGTACCCTTCGATTTTGCTCAAATTTAGATATTGTCTTCCACTACACGTAAGGCACGTCTGCTGAGAAAATTAGAGTGGGCCAACGATAACTTTGGATGATATAGCAACAAGTAGTGCAACGTACACGCGCAGTGTAAGGGGGCGGATTTCGCCAACGCCACCTGTTTTTGCCAATAGCTCACGCCGTATTCATTATATTAACGTCAAATTGTCAATACCTGTCCAGAATCGAATTGCAAATCTTCTGGTGCAAGCAATAGGTAAATCGGTCCACAACTTTTCTAGTAATAGCGGTTCAAAATCAAACATCCTGCCGGGGCGGCGCGACGGCCGGCGCCGGCCGATACTCGCCACCTGAATGGTAGACTGTGCCGGGGCGGGACATCTTTGCACTGCGCTTCTTACCGCTGATTATGATCGATTCGCGTCAAATCTTGTGTGAAGGCTTAGAAATGTACAGGCAATCTTATGGTAAAAAAAAAACGAAACTAAATTGGTAAAAGTTGAATTATGAGGAGGGGCGTCGCCACGGATTTTCGACAGGGGGGGACGGATCGGCCGGCTAAAAACCCGATATTAGGTATTGTTACCGACTACCGTACTTTTTGACTCGAGTATGAAACGGCGGCGCGAAGCGCCGCAAATTTTTTCATAACCAATTTGCAAAACAGCTCCAAAACACCTTGATTTTGCAGCCCGTGTAACAAGTTTGATGCCAGAACACCTAAGATTTCGTCACCAAGTCAATTAACTCTGCCTCTAAAAATTGTGATCCTTTAAACGTATAACTTATTTCCTAGAAGTTTGAAATTTTGTGTAGTGCAACTGAAGGACTGCAGGGTCGGAGCCGGAGCTTGACAGCTCGTCAGCTTGACTTGACAGCTCTGGCCAGAGTCGGAGCTGGAGTCACCGAAGTCGTTTGCACTTCGACTCCGAAGTCAGAGTCGACATTTTCTGGCTTGAAGTTATGCTCTTAAATCTTAACTGGGTAGTCCAAATATATGAAGCGTTTTAGCCAGTCGTTTACGGTACACGTGTAATTCGTGGATGACGATATAAAAATTAGCAGTTTCTTAAGGTCGGGGGGGGGGGGGGGGATAAGAGCTGGAGGTTCCGTTGGCCGTTGTGACTGGTGCCTGGTGGACGGTGGTTGTATAGGGGTCAGACTAATATAGGCCGACACTGAGTATTAAAACCTTCTGGACCCTCTCATACCACACACCGTTCCGTCATTTCTATCCTCAGGACAGTCAAATCCCTCTCCTCCACGCCTCAACCCCTTGTTCCGGGCTGCATGGGCAACTTAATCCCATGCGGGAACGCCCGATAAGAGCACACCCGTAACCGGGTGCGGTGAGTGCTTGGGAAGGGGGGGGGGGCTGGTCGGCCTGCCTTCTGGACGGGCTCAGCCCCGGCGACTCACCAGGGTGCTCGCCCAGACCAACCCCCCCCCCCCCCTAATTCCTATCATCCTTCCGGCTCTGAAATGGTCTCGTTAAGTCGTTAGACCGAAAAGGCCTAACCCAATAAAACAAATCCCAGACCGTGGCGAGGTCCTCTCACACCAGCATCAGGTCCTCTAAGGCCATGGTGAATTGGTGAGCCCCTTTGGCTGTCGTTTTGCCTAGCACGGGAGGATGGCCGTTTAGAAGTGGGGGTCTTGCTTGAGTATTGTGAATACTCTAAAATGTGTGGTTTATTTATGCAGCTGTCACCCCACCCAGAGGACCGAACTTCAGCCCTTGGTGGGTGTACCCAAGGGTGTATGTTAGGGAATACCACTGGTCTACCGGGCAAGTGGCCCGAATGCCGGACGCTCGAGCGCCGGCTGGCGGGCGCGGCGGCTCGGTCGGTCGGTGCCGCGTGAGTTACGTGTGCGCTCGGCCTGCCCCTCGGCGGTGAGCGATCAGCTGACCGGGTCCGGGCGGCCGGTAGCGGGGGCTGTGGCGAGCATTATTGGCTGTTGGTCCGTGCTGGGACGAAGTTGTCGGTCTTGGATGTGTGAATTGTCACCGTTCGTGGCAAATACAAGACTGAAGACTTTACAGTGTACTTATTTGAGCCGCTGAAGTGCCTGAGTTCTCAATTGTACGGTCGAACTGACCAGCATCAATATTCTTTTAAAAAGGGTTTATTTCTGTTTACATGACTCCATTGTGAATGACCGTTGCAAATAGTCATTTTTTAAATCATTTATGGGTGATTTTTGGAGGGGACGTCCCCCTCGGATTCCTCGACTGGGGGGGACGCGTCCCCCCCTTCCCCCCCGCTTTCGACGCCCATGATTATTAGGTTGCAAACACAATATTGTGACTGAAACGTTTCCCGCATCGGCCGACCCACGACTCTGCCGGCGACAGCTTATTCTTAGCAGGTCACTAACTGCCAAATTTATTGTTAGATTAACTAGAGATTCTCTTAACATGCTAAAAACCAGGGCTGCGGAGTCGGAGTCGGAGTCGGAGTCGGAGTCGGTCGGAGTCGACAGTTGTGACCGGAGTCGGAGTCGGAGTCGGAGTCGATTTTAGAAACCCGAGCCGGAGTCGGAGTCGGAGTCACCGAAAATCTGTCGACTTCGCAGCCCTGCTAGGTCTGCGGAGTCGGAGTCGGGAGTTGGAGTCGGTCGGAGTCGACAATTCTGCCCGGAGTCGGAGTCGGAATCGGAGCTGGTTTTTTAAAGCCGGAGTCGGAGTCGGAGTCGGAGTCGCCGAAAATCCATCGACTCCGCAGCCCTGCTAAAAACATCGAATAAATAAAAAAGGAAAATCGGCCGGTAACTCTTAGATGTATGGGTCAGGGACCAGGGTGTATAAACGCAAAATAGTCACTATGGTAAATTTGATCACGTTTTACCTCACTTGAGCTTGAATGTATTTATCTAGGGTCATGAAATTGGCACACGATAAAGTTCCCCACCGCCCCACCAACAAATCAAATTCCGTTTTTTTTTAATACTTCTTTTGGCTAAACCGGGCCTTTCTCCCCTAGCGCTGGGAGAGTCAGGCGTATTTCCTTTTTACAACCAAAGAGAGGCGCTGCCCGGATAATGCCCAATTGCATCATTAACCCGCGCCCCACTGGGGGAGGGGGGCTATTTATAGCCACCCTCCCATTTTTCTGCAATAACTTCCAAACCGCTTGACGTATCGACGCCAAACTTTCAGTACCTTCGGCTGCATCAATTTGACACCTTTGAACTTCGTACCTACCATAGGTCGGCCGGAAATGACTTCAGATTGACGTCATGTTCGGCCGATTTCGACGCAAAACATTGAACCACGGCAATCGCTTCCAAGAGGTCAGTTTTTAAGCTAGATCCAATTGCTTTGCATGAGAGGACTCAGAATAGACTGCGCTATCAAACTGCTATCTCGGATTTTCGAAATTTTGAAAATTTTGAAAATTTTATATAATAATATCCAGAATTTATATTTTTACATTTTTTTTCAAAAAGTTTTTGATTTTTCGAAAAAAAAAACGGAATATATGTGATAGAACGCATTATTATGACTAACTCTAGCAAGTTTTAGCTAAATATCTTCAAAAATGGCCAAGTTTTACGCATTATTGCAAAAAATTCATAATTATTAATTTTTCAAATCAATTTTTCAGCACGTATTTGACATCGTACGCCAATGTAAATAGCACCATCGTGTTCCTGAGCTCAAACTGCATCCAATAGACACCTTTTTGTTGAAAAATTTTAACTTCAAAATTTGACCTTTTTTGACCTGAAAGTGACCTAACATAAGCTAAATTCGACTCAAAATGACCTCGACTAACACAGACGACATCAAATTCGAAATCTCTGACCTAAATGGACCATAAAACATGTGTCACGTGACCGACGCATGATATAATATTTTCGTGACCTGTGATGACCTGACCTTGACCTGAAAATCAAAGTACAAGTTTGGTACCCTCAGGGTAACTAGAGCATCTGTTCCCGAGTGTGTGGTCCAAAAATGAGCCTGATCTGACTGGTAAGACGGCGGCCAGAGCCCAAAACGTGATCAAGCAAAAATGCTAATAATTTTTACTTTGACCTGACCTGTGACGTCATCGGTGACCTGGAGGTCAATGAAATTAGGTTTCGCTCGACAGTTTTTCCGGGGCTATCAGACGCCGTTTGAATTTTGACGATCGGCCCAGTAGTTTCGGAGTTAGGAGGGGGGGGCTATGAATAGCCCCCCCTCCCCCCAGTAGGGCGTGTTATACGCAGACCCCAGTGGGGCGCGGGTTAAAAAACTGGCTTACAGCTCAGCGCATAGGTGTCAATTTGTATACTTTTGGGTGTGCCCGGGCACCCCCAATTCTGAATTGAGCACCCCCCCCCCCCCAAGGGGCTCTGGGCACCCACAACCAAATTTGGTACTGGCATCACTGTTACGATTTTTTGAACGCATTGTTTTCTCTAATTCATAGGCGCGGGAACGGGGGGGGGGGGTAGTGGGGACAGTTAACCTCCCCCCCAACTCCGGGGCCGTGGGGGCGGTGCCCCATCCCCACAGCTTTAAGACGGAATATCGCACTTTTTTGCAAATGTTTTCTTTTTTATGAAAACGCCAAGGGATGAAAAATAAGTGTCCTAAAACCGGTGAGAGAACTAGGTTTGGGGGTACCCAAGGTTGATTTCAATTATGGTGTTTCCTCCCCCCCCCCCCCCAGTCTGAAAGTAGGTAGTTCCCGCGCCCCTGCTCTAATTACCGTACATACATCAGAATGCGTTGTAAAAAATGGACACAATTTTTCGCTTTATTTATACCAGACCTTGGTAGCCATCGACGCATTCGTGCCGCGTCAATGGGTTTTCGGTTCCGGACGTCCTGAAGTTTTGCTTTGAGTGAGATAGTCTTTTGGTCCGAAATATCATGGTTTAACCCGCGCACCAACGGGGATCCGCATTCCGCACCAACTTCACACCGACGGGGGCGGATACCTTCTCCCCGTGATATCTCGAGAACGAAGCAAGATAGAAACAAAATGGCATGGGATACAAACGGACAAAGTCTACAATTTTTACTGAGGTCATTTTCACGTCAGGTAAAAAAATGACGTCACAGGGGTAAACAAGTCAAAATAGCGGCGGTTAAGGTAGACAGTTTTTCACGAATAACGATTGAAGTACCAATGTCTGTCATACCCACACCGAGTGGCTGATTGCTTTGAGAATTTCACCGATTGATAAGGCCAACAGTTTGTACAAAATGTATGTCTCGAAACTTCGATACCGGTGACCTAAGGTCAGGTCAATTTTGCCACCTCCCCATTACCATGGGATAATTCTTCGGAATGCTTGAGACCAGGACCAAAAAGAAGCCGAATTTTGATGAGTAAAGCCGATTTGGGAGTACCCGACCTTGTTATAGAGCCGACCAACATGCACCATCGGCAAGACACAGGACACCCAACACCGCCACTGGCGCCACTGACCCAACACCCACGTGGATTTTTACAATTCTCCACCTATGCTCAACAGTAGAACAAAACAATGACCAGGAACACCAAGTCAACAGGTTTTTGCAAATTGTCCATTCATTGTAACCTGTCATTGTAATTCATTCATTGTAAGTTGTAACCATTAATTGTAATTCATTGTCTGTGCCGAAGACGGCCTCGGCGCAAGGGCGGAAACGCCTGCGGGTTTTGACGATGCAGGACATTTCCTGTCCTCCCATTCCGTCATGATGCGAGTCTTGTCATGATGCGAAATTTTGTCTGTCACCCGTCCCCCTCTGTCTGCGCTCTGTTTGAGCCGCTCTGTTTGAGCCGTTCTGTTTGAGCCGCTCTGTTTCAGGTGCGCTGTGCCGCAGTCGCCGCCGCTCTGCTCAGAGCCGGCTGCAGTCGGCTCTGCCCCGACTGCCGCTGCCGCGCCCAGAGAGTGTCTGCCGTCAGCACAGAGAGGGCGCGACATGCTGCCTACCCGGCCGCCGGGCCATCACTAACAGTCGACAACAGTGGGAGCCGTAAAACTTCCCGTTTGTCGTCCTGAAAACACTTCTTACTGATGTCACTACGTAATGAGGTGATAAGTATCACCCGTAGCTCTGGGAATTCATTTTTTCATTCCGGGTGCACTGCATTCCTTCCTGGCCCAGTTCCTGGCCCAGTCTGCCGGCCGTGTTCCCTGTCTGTGTCCATGTGACCCCGCCTGCCCTGCGGCCCGCCCTGTCCGTGTCTATGTGACCCCGCCTGACCTGCGGCCCGCCCTGTCCGTGTCTATGTGACCCCGCCTGACCTGCGGCCCGCCCTGTCCGTGTCTATGTGACCCCGCCTGACCTGCGGCCCGCCCTGTCCGCGTCCATGTGACCCCGCCTGCCCTGCGGCCCGCCCTGTCCGTGTCTATGTGACCCCGCCTGACCTGCGGCCCGCCCTGTCCGTGTCTATGTGACCCCGCCTGACCTGCGGCCCGCCCTGTCCGCGTCCATGTGACCCCGACTAACCTGCGGCCCGCCCTGTCCGTGTCTATGTGACCCCGCCTGACCTGCGGCCCGCCCTGGCCCAGTCGGACCGTCTGACCAATTCGTCCAATCGTAATGCATTTGGTGTATCGTAATGCATTAGGGTACACCAAATTCAATATCGTTTG